GGTGCGGCCATGGTCACGATTGCAACTTTGCGTCTGATGATCCCAAGGCGATATGTCCCCGGTGCAAGAATGCTATGACAATCAGAATGACATATGTTGCTCCCCCAGCAGCGCAAGAAGCAAGTGCAGGGGACGAAGGGGGATTTGTCAAGGGTGTAGTGACCTATATGGTTATGGATGACTTGGTGGTGCAGCCCATGTCTACTATTTCTAGCATTGCATTGCTTAACAGGTTCAATGTGAAGGAAGTTGGAGCCCTGGAGGAGAAGTTTGTGAATCTTGGCATGAATGAGGTAGTCAATCAGTTGAGAACTTATTATTTATTGTTAATGTACGATGGTTAATTAATTTAATGAAATAGGAGTGGACAATATCATGAGTATGTTCTCTCTGCACTGCAGGCTTTGATGTTGCTCCAGGCGTCTTTGGAGTCCAAGACGGTGCTCACAAATGTCTTCCTGAAGAATATGGGAAAATGAATATGCTCTTACTGTTATATTCTCTGAGTTAAATTTTGGATGAGAATTAATGTTAATGTGGAATGTTCATTACTATAAATCCAAGATCCAACTATACTATGTCTTGACGTGATAGTGGGAATTACGTACTCAGTCTGCGTTTGCATGCTTCACCATGATCAATTTAATGTACCTTCCCGAGTTTTGTTCTTTTACAGGAGGTGAATTTTCGTAAGAAATTCTTTAGCTGTATTTTGCTTTAAATCATGTATAACCCCATTTGATTGGGACCCAAATTAAAAACCGCAATCGGCTAATTCTTGCACTTGACCTGAGAATGATCCTCGTCGCATCTTTTTTACACTGATTGATAACTACAGAGGCACTAGCTAAATGAGATCAATAACCATTAAAGAACGGCAGACCCAAAAGTGAGCTTGAAAACTTTTGGATGACACCGAAAGCCAGAAAGTTACTATGCGCCGAAGCAGAGAAAAACGCGGTTGATTTCCTCTTTCACGTCCCCTGTTTGCCCGTAGGTACGATTATCAGGCTTCTCAGGGATCAAGGAATGGCAGGTTGCTTGGGAAACTCATACGACAGCATCGAAAATCTTTAGTAGAACATACATGCAACCCAACCAGATGAAAAACATTTTTCTCAAACCAAAATCTTCAGCTTGTTCAGTCCCTTTGTTGCCCTCAATTGATGCATCGCCGCCAGAAACATCTCATCTCCAAAAGCTTTCTACTGGTGCTCCAACAGCAACTGTTACAAAACCTAAGATTCTATGGGACATTGCAAGTCCTCTGTAACCCGCGTGCTATTTGCCCTAAATGCTGCTCCCCCACCAGTTTGTCGAGGGTGTGGTGACAAACTATTGAAAATATTGAAGCCTTCCAATCGCAGCTTAGGCTCACTTTAACCATATTTATGAAAATATTGAAGCCTTTGACGGGCCTAAACCTGGGAAGTTGGAGGGGCCAGGTGGTCAATCCAACATAACGGATTGTGAATAGGTGCAGTCGTTCGTTGTCTTGTGATTTCTATCGATTAGACTCCTAATAGATCAATTGAATCTTGAGTTTGATTTGTAAGATAGATTATAAATAAGAGAAAAATGCAGTTTTGGTACCTAAACTTTGACGCACGAGCGGTTTTAGTCCCCAAATTTTGGACGAAAACAAATTTGGTACCCGAACTTTCAAATTTTGAGCACATTAAGTACCCTTGACGATTTTTTTCCAAATTATTACCGGAAAAAGCCATGTGATAGTCACATGTCCGGCCGAAATGGAATTAAAAAAGGCCAAAAATGCAGTTTTGGTACCTAAACTTTGACGCACAAGCGGTTTTAATCCCCAAATTTTTGACGAAAACAAATTTGGTACTCGAACTTTCAAATTTTGAACACATTAAATACCCTTGATGATTTTTTCTCAAATTATTATCGAAAAAAGCCATATGACAGTCACGTGTCCGGCCACAATTGTATAAAAAAAGGCCCAAAAAATGTCAAATGCCATTATAATACTAAGTATTAAATTTAAGGACTAATAGCGTAATAAAGAAAAAATTCAAGGACTAAATAACATCACATGAGTCAACAAAACCCAAGAACTGATACAAATGAGCTCCAATTCCAGACAAATTTTGTGACTTGATTCTTAGATTAATGTACTGGAATTGGAGCTCATTTGTATCGGTTCTTGGGTTTTGTTGACTTATGTGATGTTATTTAGCCCTTGGATTTTTTCTTTATTACGCTATTAGTCCTTAAATTTCATACTTAGTATTATAATGGCATTTGACATTTTTTGGCCTTTTTTTAAATACAATTATGGCTTGACACGTGACTGTCATATAGATTTTTTTGGTAACAATTTGGAAAAAAATCATCAAGGGTACTTAATGTACTCAAAATTTGAAAGTTCAAGTACCAAATTTATTTTTTTCCAAAATTTGGGGACTAAAACCGCTCATGCGTCAAAGTTTAGGTACCAAAACTGCATTTTGACCTTTTTTTTTTCCATTTTCGCCGGACACCTGACAGTCACATGGATGTTTCCGGTAACAATTTGGGAAAAAATCGTCAAGGGTATTTAATGTGCTCAAAATTTGAAAGTTCGGGTACCAAATTTGTTTTCGTCCAAAATTTGGGGACTAAAACTGCTCGTGCGTCAAAGTTTAGGTACCAAAACTGCATTTTTCTCTATAAATAATTAATCACATTTTCACTCATAATCCCATATAAGATGCCAGAAAGAATTGAAGTTAAAGTCATTAAAAGATTATTTGGTTTAAAGAAGCCAACATGTTTCAGTATATCATCATCATCTTTTGTACGATTACTATACATACATTGACTCTCACAATTTCCATTAAGTATAATAAAAACATTTAACTCCAGAGAGAACTGATCGTATGAGGAATATTAACATAATGTGGATTTATAAAGACAAGTATATGTGCGATCAAAACTTACTTTTTTCAACAATTAAGAAAGAGAGGGTTGATGCAAAATACTTATCTTGTGAGTTAAGGGTTAAAAGCACTACATTCCTCTAAAGTTTGGTGCCATTTCACTTTGTACCTTGATATCTTTTTAGTTGCACTTTCCTTGTTTGACTAACAGTCAATACTAACGACAAAAGTGTTACTTCAAAGTAACAATTAGTAGAAACGATACTTCAAAGTAACAATTAGTAGAAACGAATCTATGTAAAATTTAAAATAAAATCATTTCATGTTCAAAAAAAATATAAAAGACTACCAAAAAGAATACCATGTAGTTTTAACAAAAAAAAATTTTGTTGAAATTTTAAAATGTCCAAGACAATGTATGTGAGAGATATTTTATCATATTTGTATCTCACCACCTTTTATTGATGTTAATTTCAGAAAGAATGTATTTAACAATAGCAAAGTTTCGAATTTAGTTAACATGATGAGATTTCTTTTTTACATTTTTTTTTCCAAACGATAGAAGGAGATTTCTTTTTAATAAAAATGGGATATTTTGAAAACTTAGCCCCTGTTTGGCAAGGCAAGTTTTTGCCTAGTTTTCTCCTATAAGTTTTTAACAACTTTAACTACAATAATATCAAAAAACTTTCCAAAATTTTTAAAGTACACACTTCAAAAATATCAAAAAATACAAAAATTTCCCTTCTTTCCTTTCTTCTTCTTCCTTCCCCACATCAATCCACCACCACCTCCGCGCCGGTCACCTCTTCCTGCGGTGGCAGCTGCAAAATTTTTTGAGGGGGAGGTGGAGGGTGGTGGGGGAGGGAGAGAGGAAGACGGGGATGAGGAGAAGGGAGGAGGAGATGGAGAAGAGAAACAAAAAAAAACTTTTGCAATTGCCGGCACCAGTCATTGGTGAGCGTCAAAGTGGTGAGGTGAGGGAGAAGAAGTGGAGAGGAAAGAAAACGAAAAAGAAAGAAAGAAAAAGGAAAAAAAAAGTTTTAAAAATTTTTTTATACAACTTTTATAGTAAGTTACAGTAAAATTTTAAATAAATATTCAAAAAACTCATTTGCCAAATGGGCCTTAGTTTTTTACTTCCCAAAAAGAAAAGAAAAAAAAATTGCATTGCCAAATATAGGTGATATGAGAAGTTCGGGTTGACAAAAGAAAATGGAGACAAGGGTAAATTTGAAACTTTTGATATTTTTTTATGATAAAACCTAACGTGCTTTAACAAATGCAGCAAAAATAACGTTCAGGTATAAAGTACTATACATAAAAGAGATAATTTCAAAAATCTCTCCTGAGGTTTCTAACAATTTCACTGGCTTTCCTTGAGGTTTATAAAATTACACTTACCTTCTTTGGTAGAATTATGGGCCTAATTACTTATATCATATGAAGAGAAATTACTCATATACCCTAAGACATTATGTCTTATAGAAGCTAATATCTAATGATTGAGTAATTAGAGCATTAATTAACTATTAATAACTAATTAATGAAAATAATTATTGAGAATTTCTTTAATGATGAACAGTGACTTGCAATTATAAAATAAGACCAATTGATATACCAAATAACGCTTTTTTATGATTGATAGAATTTGATAATGATTAGAAACCAATCGTACACAATGTGACAAGAAGAGCATTAGTAAAAAAAAATACTTGGTAAAAGAAGATTATTCGTGAGAAAATTTTCTTTGAAACTTTTAAAATTGTAATAGTTGTAAAGTAGTTCCGTGGAAGTAAAGGAGAAAGAAGGGAAAAAAAAGGCAAAATTCAAAAATTCATTCTGTTCAAAATCACAAAAATCATAGCAAACTTAATGTTAAGAGCGATGACTAGCCTATTTTACTGAATCTTGTGATCACTAGTGTAGTTTTATTATTTATTTGTGTTGTTCAATGTATTGAATGTAAATTTTTTTGAGCAGTGAAATGTGTATGCAAAAGAATTAAAACATGATATTTATGTAGAAGAAATAACAATATAATAAAAAATAAAACAGAGAATGAGATAGGATGTGAGACAGAAGATCTGTTGCGTAAATAACCACTCTTACCCCTAAGACAGGAAAAAGAAAGAAGTCGCATATCTAAAGGGTCGGCCATAACTCAAAAGTAACATCCCCGCTTTTGATACCTCCCTTCGGTACTGGTTTTCCATTATATTTAGTAATACTCATCATTTGCGAAAGCAATCCTTTATTTACAGAGAAGTGTTTGGCAGAGATTGATAAGTCATCATGGGATCCTCCAAGATAAGCTTGAAACTTTTGATCGACACCAATAACAACAAACTTCTGTTCGCCGAAGCCGGGAAAAACTTCGTAGATTTCCTTCTTCATATCCTCTCCTTGCCATTGGGTACTGCTACAAGGCTTCTCCGCGAGCAAGAGACCATTGGTTCCCTGGAAAATCTGTACCATAGCATCGAAAATCTTGATGAAGCCTACATCCAGCCAAACCAAAACAAAGACATCTTGCTACGTCCAAAACCACCTGCCGGCGCTCTGGTCACTCTCTGGGCGCTCGAGGATTCGCCGAAACCGGAGACAGCACAGGGCAAAGCATTTTATAGGTGCGGCAATTCTAGTTATAGTTGTACCAGGCATGTGACCGATGACCCTCGAGCTGTTTGCCCCAATTGCGGGTCCACCATGGATTCGGGCGTGAACTATGTCGTTCCCCCACAAACTTCGGACAGTAAAGAAGGCGGATTTGTGAAGGGGGCGACGACTTACATGATCACGGACGACTTGGAGGTGAAGCCCATGTCTGCCATTTCCAGCATTGCTCTGCTTAACGAGCTTAATGTCAAGAATCTAAGCGCCCTCAAAGAAAAGGAAGTGGATCTTAGCATGAATGAGGTAGGTCGAGAATTTTGTGCAAGTATTTTGGTTGTTACTGCTGCTGATTAATCCATCCTCTCTTTTCTTAAGAATTTCCAGTACTAGCTGATATAACGCAGCTTCATGTACTTGTTCTTCTCTTGGCTTGTCGTTTCATAAGTATACTTCTTTTTTCTTTCAATGTCTTCCCTTTATTTAGCGGACAAAACTTAGACCGTTCATCACCGTGAGTTAATTTCAAGCTTGACTTCATACGTGACAGGCCTTGAAGCTGCTTAAGGAATCTTTGGAGTCTAAGACGGTGCTTACCAGTGTCTTCTTGGATGTCAAATCTGAAATTCCATGAGAACTGTTTAGTGTTTCACTTTTGGATAACAATTTTATGTTGGAATCGGTGACTATTTTGATCCTTTTTTGCTTAATTAAGGTACCAATTCTAAATGATTACTTCCACTGGTATGTAATTCATTTCATCCCAATGCCTCATCAGCATTAGGATGCGATATGTCACAAGAGTTTCTTAATCTCGAAACAACAATCACTAAATTAAGATGCGAGGATAATCAGAAACTATAAACTCATTGACGCTATTAATGCAGTACATGCTGACATGCATTGCAAGATGCATGAATTCGTATACAATTCAACGCTATCACACTAAGTTCAGTATAAACCTTAAACTCACATATACAAAATGCACTTTAATGGGAGCAAGCCAAATCCTCCGGCCGTCTAATTCAGCTCTCGGAATTATCACGTCGCAGTCCTGCATGTTAATCATATAGAGAGCGGCGGCTTTCAGTACCCTACCATGTCCTCGTTACCAACTGCACTATTATTTCTTAAGTTTCACCATACCATGTTAATCATCGCAGTCTCAACATTGAGCTTGAAGCTTTTGGTTGATACCAAAAACAACCGAGTTCTATGCGCTTAAGCTGACAAAAAACACTGGATTTCTGCTTTCATATTCTTTCTCTGACTCTCTGGCTACAGTTATCAGGCTTCTGAGAAAGAAAGGCATGGTTTGTTGCTCGTCTAACCTATATAACAGCATAGAAAATCTTAGTGAAACACAAAGGTGCGTTTCTCAAAAGACAGAGACATCAAAGTTGGAATGGACATTCACTATATAGAGGATGTACACAAGACACAATTCTTAGGTGGAATCGTTATAAATCATGCGTTGACAGTTTGTATTATCCATTACGTGGTTGAAATTTTTATAGCACAGACATCTTCAAAGATACACCAAGCCTATGCTTTGCGATTTTTCTTTTCCTCAATGCCTGATTGGGAAAACCTCACTCTCAAGATTTGCAGGACATCCTCAACTTTAACTCCCCTCTTTGCCAGCAAAACCATGGCATGGTAGAGCACATCTGCCATCTCTGAGGCAGTCCTTGTCTTCTCCTCATTTTCCTCCAGCGTGCGACATAGTTCATCAGCCTCCTCCCTGCAAAGGAGCTCCAAAGATTAAGACAACTTTTACTGCATGTGGATACTACTCATACTTGCGTTATGAAACACAAAAAACCACAGGGCAAGCAGACGAATGCAAGTACATCTATTCATACAAAAGCCTCTCTACATGAAAAAAAGCCACGAGCTTCATACTAAAGAAAAAAACAGCCGACAAAGTTTAGTGGTCATGATACCGGATTTTTGAACACAGCAAGTTGTCATCAAGCAATAAGCGCTTCGTCCAAGATGGCTTTCCATTTGCGGATCCTCTGTCCTCTTTGCGTTGATTAATGGTTGATTCTAAGGCATATAAAGTTGTCAATGCTAGCTTATTTTCCTCTGCCTACCACAAGAGAGAACACAAATATAACGATGAAGAGATTTAAACACAATTAGTTAGTTTCAGGTTCATTATCATTGACAGAATATTACAGCTGACAAAGCATCAAATAAAAACCTGTGAGCTGATCATGTCATCAATGGACGTAAAATAGCAAGTCTCAGATCCAGTGTGGCAAGTTGGTCCATCAGGCTTCCCAAGGTACATTATCTGAAAAGTAGGTCCTGAATGATGATTTCAATAAAGCAGAGGGCAGTAATCTGGGATACAATTGATCCACACTGAAAAAAAAAACAAAAAAACTTACAGAATCACGATCACAATCTAAGAAGATTTCGCTGACATTAATGAAATTCAAGGAAGTCTCTCCCTTTGTCCACAAAGTTGATCGCGACCTGCTATAGAATGTCGCCTTACGTGAAGATATGGTTGTCAGAAGTGCATCTTTATTGGCAAAGCCTTGCATTAAGACAGCTCCTGTATCAACATTTTGAGCTATTGCCACAGCCAACCCTTTGTCATCCCATTTGATGCTATCTAAAAGTAAGTCAAACTATAATACTTGTGAGGCACAAGCAACTTTAACCAAGCAAGTATAAGAGATCACTAGTTCATAGAGGAAAAATGCACTACATTCAAAGTGGAGAACTGGAGAAAGCTTTTTGGGTTAGACATTATCACTCCAGACCTTGCATTCTGTAAATATGTGGAGATATAAATATATAATAAATAGAAAACAACCCCCTAACATCAAGATCATTTTCAGTATCTTCTGTTCACTCGCCGCAAATGACGAGACAAAGGACAGTTGAAATGGCATCAATTTAAAGGAAGACATTATGATGTTCAGATTAGACATTAACCGCTATCACCTGTGTTTTTTACTATTCTAGACATTCAACGGCCAGTGACATAAGGAAGGTGGCAGGCACCTGCAAATGTCTAGCTGCAACAAGATTACTGATTATAGTCTAGCAACAAAAGAATGCTCCCATTTCCAATCTACATGAAAGACAACAGACAAATCCAAGTTACTGTCACCCCCCAAAAAGCAAGCCATTTATCTATTGGAATATGGGGTTCAGATGTAGCTCGTGCAGTCATATGGATGACTGACGGGCAACGATAAACACCTTTGTTTTCTATTCCAGACAATCAACGGTCCCCACAACCAGGATAGTGGTAGACACCTGCCAATGTCTGGATGTAACCAGAAAATTTCATTGTCAAGAACTACAAATGTATCATCTCATTCCCTAACCAGTTAAAATGACATCAGAAGTTTGCTCTAAAACACAAGCACCCGCTAAAAGGGAAATTGATTGATCTACTAGAATATGGGGTTCAGATGTAGCTTGTGCAGTCATTGAGGTTGACTAACAGGCAACGATGAACTCCTACCATTATTTCCTGTTCCAGACAATCAACGGTCCCCACAACCAGGAAGTGGTAGACACCTGCCATGTCTGGTGAAGGTGTATGTTAAAAATAAAGGGGGGAACAAAATCTCGAGACTTAATAATGTACCAAGCAATCCAAACTAACTGATTTAATCATGCAATTGGTAAGCAGCTGCCCATATATCGATTGTCAAATGTCAACAGACAAATCACCCAGCTCCCCTCTTTTCTGAAGAAATACAATCTAGGTAGGGTCCAGAAGCTCGAAAGAAATCAAGTTAACAAACTCAAAATCACCATTTGGAAAGTTCATCCTCTGAATATAGTATATGCTCGTAAAATAACTTCAGTTTGAGCAGATGACATAGTTGGCGGTCACCAGAAGCTTGAGAGAAATTAATCAACAAAGGGCAGATCAGCATTTAGCAAGCTCATATGTTATACATAGTTACATACTAGTTAAAAAAAAACTTTCGTTATATATCCAAGGAAAAAGGGTTCTGATTTAGAAGAAATCTCCGACGAAAAAACATAGTTTAACAATGCAGCAGCAATAATAAGCAGATATTAGTCGAAAAAAGTGAGAAGGGCATACAGAATCATTGCAGCATAGCAGCAAAGGATGCAACGACGACAATGAAGAATTCTGAGAATCTTTTAAAATAGTCGAAAAAAATACCTTAGGTCCACTGAGTGAAGCTTGATCCAATTTTTTCATGCAAGCAAGAACAGGGTAGCAGGATCTGCTCTTGAGCCTCCCACCATAACAATAACCACCAAAACCAGGGTTGCATCTAAAGGAAATCTTTTGGGTCTGAAAACTACTAAAACATGAATAAGAGAATGCCATCACAGGCCCATCTAAATAAGCAGCTATACCAGCCAAGGAGAATAAACAGCAACAATTTCCTGCTACTGAAACACGAATTCCAGATCGAAATCACAAAATTATTCAAATACTATTGAAATACAAGGTAACAAGATTCAGTTTCATCGCAACTTTAACCTTTGTCTGTTGTCCGCCAGCAGCAGCAGAAATGAGGAAAGTGATGCGAGTGAGGAGGAGGAGGAGGAGGAGAGGAGTGGCGGCGAATTGAAGAATTTAGATAGGTTGTGCCACTTTTTATAACGGGTTATTGTACTTCGCATCCAGCCCTCATGTTTTACAATAGCGAAATTTGCCAAATTGGTCCCAATATTTTCAAAAAAAAAACTTTTTTAGTTCCTTACATATAAAACAAGTTAGAATAGTTCCTAACATAAAAATTATGAATCAATATAGTCTTAATGCTCGTATTTGTTTATATCTCCGGCTAAAAATAGCACATCTCTCTTACATGAGTATAATTTTAAGGATAAAATAAAAAAACACACTTCGTTTCCGATTGAGTTTTGCATCTTTCCTTCATATTTCCCCAATTAAACCCTAATTACCTCACATCAAAACCAAATTTGAAAAGGGAAAACGCAGCTGCAACTAGATGTCTGTGCAATTAAGGAATAATAGCAACAAAATGCGAATAAGAAGCTAACCTATTGAAGAGTACGATAGATCCAAACAACGGGCGATGTCTTTGTGGAAAGGAACCCCTGATTGTGACTTCTTTGAAAATCTGTAAATCTAGGGAAAAGATTCTATGACTGTCCAAATTATGGAGTAAGCTTTCTAAACATTTTAATATTCATCCGGAGGAGCGAAGTGTGTTTTTCGATTTGTTCTTGGAATTATGCCCACGTGAGAGAGGTGTGCTATTTGTAACTCGAAAAATGAGCAAATACGAGTATTAGGACCAAATTGATTCATAATTTTTATATTAGGAACTATTCTGATTGATTTTAAACATTAGGGACTTAAAAAGCTTATTGTGAAAATGTTAGGGACCAATTTGACAAATTTCCTTTACAATAATTCCAATTTTCCGCCCTTAGTTTCTCAATATTGGCCAATGGTATTCTGTTCCGTTGAAAGCAATGGTTGATTATCTGACTGAATTGAGAAGTCACGACTTATGAGGCGACTAAACTTGAAAAAAAAATAAAGAAAAGAATATTCAGATTCTTGGTAATACTAAAATAGCAAATGAAATTTTGCTATAAATTTACCCCTTAACGTCATCTTTTAATCACTTCACTCCCATAAATAATTCAACTCAATATGTTAAGAAATTTTGGACAAAAATACTCCTTTATTCTATAACATTCTCACATTGTTATTATCACTTTATCCCTTGAAATTATAGTGATACAATTGGTTTAATTTTTAACATTATTTTCTAGGCATTTTATCTTATCATTAATCTAACTAGTATGATCAAAAAATTTTAAATATATTTACCTTTTTTAATATATAATTAAAAATGAAAAAGTTGGAATGAATATGATAAAGTTGGATAACTCTTTTACAGTTACTATCTGGAAAAAGAAAATTCTAATTCTAAATCGTTGTTACCCAGTGGCCTTTTTGCATGTAACCCCTTTTTCTGGCCTTTTATCAGGTACATATTACAACAGACCTGTTCTATAAGACTCAAATACTAATTAATGGTTGTTAGAAGTTAGAAACGCTCCTTCAAAAAAAAAAAAAAAAAAAAGGAAGAAGTTAGAAACGCCAAAACAGATTAAATTTTTCGTTCTTTAAAAGCTTTCGATTAAATTTTTCGTTCTCCGGCCACTAAATAACTTTGCGAAGAGTTTCCACTGGACAATGAGCCGCAGAAACAATTTATAACTCCTCACTTGTTCAAGGGCGAGGCAGAATCTTCTTGAAAAGACGATAATGGCAAATACCTACTCCCATCATCAGACCTTTCACGGATAAGAAATCGAATTTGCATCTGGAATCATAATGACTGAAACCCGCCCAAGCTTCGAATCGAGTTAGTTAAACTACGTCGATGACTCGATAAGCAATGCAAGATTACCAACATGCATCTGACAAGTGCCCTCCAGTCTTGAATAAGCAATGCACCATGTGCATAAACTACTTTCCAGATCCCACTTTAGATTGTTAGGACGTATATATGGAAAGATGGCTACTTTAGAAGAACAAACAGCATCAATTGCGTTTCTTCATCAAGTACTCGCAGCATTTTAGTCAAGCATTCCGGTTTTCAGAACAACTACGAAAACCTGAAACAAAGCTGCTGCTTTCTTTCTTTCTTTTGTCACCAAACACTATTCAATACGCATTAAAGAGATGGTTAGACATAGGCCATTTCCAATTACATAATGGACATTTGGGATAGGTAATCATTAAATCCTATAGACTGGAGAGAAGAATACAAAGTCTCTAAGAAGCTTTTGCTGCTGACTTTCGGTTAGCAAAAGCCAAAAGGTGATGTACAGAGGTCAGCTGCAGAAGGAAAATCTATTCTAGCTATCTTCCCTTTAGAGGATTCTAAAATCAGTTTCTGAGTTAAATCAATATACAAGGTTGTGTCAGCAAGAAAATGCCTAGAGTTTATCAGGTGTCAAGCTCTGTACAACCAGGTGAACCACCTCAGCATTTACACTGCAGCATCCTGCAAAAGTAGATGAAAATAACTCAAACAAGCTCAACCTAAATTCAAACAAACTACAGAATAAACTGTGAGCGTGGAACACCATTATCAAAGACACGGACGCGTCAGAAAAATAGAACCACCCTCAAACTACCAAAGCTGGCATATGGCCACATTCCAAGTCATTTTACAAAAATTATCAGAGCTGGGCATATTGCCATTAAGAGGAAACTTCCAGGTTTTGCTTTGATGTTTCAAATCAAACGTCAACTACCAGGTCAAGTTAGTAATCCAGGAAATCACCCTCAAGGGAAAGAAAAAGCAAAACAAGCCCAATATTAGATCATGAAACGAAGACATTATACGATTACAAAACCTTCTGTGATATATATCTGGAGGCAAAAAATAATAACTTTTCCCAGAAGGTGCAAAAGCAACATGTCAAACGTCTACAACTTTTTCGTTTTTTTTTTGTTGTTGTTGTGGGGGGGGGGTTGTAGAATAAACTTCAACAACACCTTGATTAAAGAAAAAGGTTTGCAGTACCTATGTCAGATTAGGAGCATTGTTCTTTGTATTTTCTAAATTTCAAATATAGTAACTCTCAGCTGGATTTATAGTATCATTCAGGATTTCTTTCCACATAATAAAAAAGTGATGTGTGATATTCATTGCCAGAAAGTCCATTTCACCATTGAAAGTCAATTCTATAAAATAAGTGGGGCTAATGTAGTATCTCCTTTTCAAAACTGGAAACCCTTCTAATTCTATGAAAATAAAATAAAACAAACGTGCAATCAAGGACATTGCTTGATCCCTACTATACCAGACGTTTCTATCACCTTAAAATCTTATTTTTATTCAGCTACAACTTACAATGTCAGTACTTTTTGACGCTTGGAGACTAAGGTGTATTTATAAGTAGTTTCATACAATGCTGAGCAAGAAAAGAAAACAAAGGACACTTTCACTATAAAGACCACACTCAATAAAGCATCACAGAATGGTTGTAGAATATCAAGTACCTTCAATTCTTAGGGAAGTTCACCACCACTGCAAACTTGCAGAGCAAATTGTAGAAGCTGAAGAAGTGTCAAAGAGAAGTCATCTATGAACAACAAGAAATGCCTCCTTAATTCAGGCTCTTAAGAAGGACAGGAACTTCAACAAGGACAGGAACTCTGCAGGTTCATTTTTTTCCTTGATAATCTATCCACAATGTCATAAACGCCAAATCAGGCTCTTAAATTTGATAATTGGCCAAGCAATTTAATGAAATGAATCAAAATGGAACAAATTAACACATTGGAAAATCAGTTTGCAACTATAAAAGGACCTAAGACTGACCCTGAATTTAAGTGCCCTATACTCAATTTCATGCTGTTTTAAAGCACACTCCCAACATAGTGTTAACATTATTACATAAGTTGTTGGAGTAAAATACACCAACTAATAATCTCCATAATCAATT